TTGAACATATTTTCCCTTCAGACTGCTGTCAGGAATTCTCTTCACCATTGTTAAAGTTATAACCCTTAAGCTTATCACCAGATCTGAAACACAGTTAAAGGGACTGTGATAAGCTTCCCAGAATCAGTGAGTACTTAGTTTAAATGTGGCAAAGATGGAAAGAGAGAACAAGCAATCTGTTCCCTTTGCTTTACCCCAGAGGAGCTGCAAACCCCAGTACCACTCCTACAAGCATCTTGCTTGCAGCATGGCAAAGAAGTGTATTTTAGATTATTATATAAGTAGTTGTCCTGCCTCTGTGTTCCCTTCTTTTTTTTTTTTTTTTGTGAAAGTGTACATTTTCCCTGCAGCTGTATCTGGACTTTCACTGAATTTGATCTGTTTGTTCTGTTTATCTGCAAACTCCCACAACACAGGAGCATTTCCCATGGCTCTCTACCAAACTGTAAGAGCCCTGCAATAATGACCTCTGATTTCTGAGATACACAACACATTTATGGAAACTGCAAGTTCCTTACAGAACTTGTACATAAAATATATAAAGATACCAAAGGAAACTGAAAGCATGAGGTTTGGGGGTTTTTTAACACGACAATCTAGGAGTAGGCTGTAAATTACTGTAATCAACCCCAAGCAAGACAGCTATGTTTTCACATGTGATTTAAAAGGTTTTAAAGCTGGGGGTTTATAAAGGGGCAGTGTTATAAAAACCGAAGTGGTCATGAGTTGTGGAGAGACAGAGGATAAGAAACAACTGTTTGCTGGCTCTTCCAGCACCAAAAGCAGTGACTCACGAATCAAATAGTCATCTGCAAATGAAGCTACCAGGAGCCTGTATGGGGAGAAGTGGCTCTTCCTGCAACAAATGTACTTGTGAGTCCCTCCGAATTCAGGATATTCTATGATTTTAGCTTGTGTCCATTGCTGCCCACAGCAGAATGGGCATCATGAACACTGCAGGTGCTGGAACACAAGTTCCGTGCAGAATGAAGTGCAGCCAGCCCAGAGCTCTTCAGAACAAGTGTTTAGCAGCTGATCATACCTTGCTGAAACAACCCTAAATTCACCTGCCTGGTATTTTTCTTTTTTCCATTTTTTTAAAAGAGATTTACCATCTCTTCAGTGATAACAAAAACAGTATCTGATACTGCAACTGCAGTTGCAGAAAAATAAAAGTATTTTTAAAGACCTGGCAAATCATGAGGAGCAGTGCAGGGGCAGGACTGATCTCTTCTCCCTGGTGACCAGTGACAGGACCCAAGGGAATGGCATGAAGCTGTGTCAGGGGAGGGGTTAGGCTGGACATCAGGAAAAGGTTCTTCCTTTTGGAAGGAAGAATGTCTTCCATTTGGACAATGCTCTCAGGCACATGGTGTGACTCTTGGGACTGTCCTGTGCAGGGCCAAGAGTTGGACTTGATGATCCTTGTGAGTCCCTTCCAACTCAGGATATGCTATGATTCTGTGATTAAGAAATCAATTTGCTTATCCTATTTTGACAAGATGAAGTCTAAGGCTGGAAGCACTCCTCTCAAATAATTTTTATCCACTCATCTTAAATTATTTTCCTAACTATTAAAGCCCCAGTAGTGTTTTTTGTACAATACAGGCCTGTCTGTAACATTTGTTGTTTAAAAGCATTGCACATGACCTGAGACACTGTATCATTCAAAGCTCTGCTGCTCACTTCACCGTCCCTTCTAGAAACACACTGCTGTACTTCACTGTTACCCATTAACAATGTTACCCATTAATTATGGGACTTTCAGTTTTGCCAAAGGTCCCTAAGTGTCCTAGGACACATTAGTGAGGTCAGGTCACATACACTTGGAATTTGCAAATGCCAGGGAATAAAAATTACCAGGGAATAAAAATTACATAGGCTGTTGTTGTGAGAGCAACAGCCAAGGAGGATTTTCCCACAAAACCTTTTATGATTTCCAAAGATTGTGTGATTACTTCTAAAGGTTTTGACATGAAAACAAATGAAGAATAAAAAGTTAGGCGTAGTAATTGCCCATATATGTGAACTTACTCTTTACAGATCAGGCATGCTAAGGTGCTGTATTCTCTTTCACATTTCAGCACTTTTCCCCAAGGTAACAGCACTTCACAGGAGTTGATGTACAATCTGCACAGCTCTCAGGGCCCTTTTATGTTTCTTTCTGCTGGCTGCTTGGTTGGGTTTCTTATTCCTCAAAGTAGTAGGCTGGTATAGCTTGGCAGGAATTTCACAGGACCAGAGGATCTGCACCAGCAAAACTGGCTACTTCCAAAGGAAATATTTCACCAGCTCACCATTCCGCTTGCCTTTTTTTCCTCCTGGATCTTCTACTCTGGTGATAGCCCAATCTCACCCTCCACCCCAGCAGACCATTTCCTCATTCCAACTCAACCCAGATGGTATTTGTCTCTACCACATTCTCATTCCCTGATCCTAATTCTGGAAAGAATTCTCTCATGTTTTCCTGTCAGCACAGGAACTAGCTGCCCAAACAAGCAGCTGCTTGAATCAGAACTCTTCTCCCATCAAGACTTTCTTAACTTTAATCCCATAAGTGCCCTCAGTAACAAATTAGTTGACCCATCTCCAAGTCCAACCCTGATAACCAAGCAGGCTTTAAGAGCCTGTTGTCACCTGCTTTATCACTTACCACCACTCGATCCAACTCCCTAGGGACCACATCCATGTGCTCTGCTCAACAACCTCTCTCAGGTGCAGCCTGCAGGCACCCTCCTCTGCAAAGACAGCCCCATAAAACTGCAACATCAGGGGGTTCTAGGACCTAAAAAATGCATATTGCTTTGGGTTACAAATTACCCTAGCTGGGGAATATCAGACTGAGCTCCCAAAATCCCCATGAGTTCAATCTCCCTGTTTGTATTCTTACAGAAGTGCCTGGGACCTGAAAGGACAAGTACTTGGTATTTAAGTTCAGTATTATATAGAACTGTTAGCAGACTAACAGCAGTGCATCAAAATAACATTTATTGGCCTGATTTAACCACATCCTCTGATTACCTGCACCATGCCAGGAACAAACTGTCCACATCTTACTGAAATTGTGTTGCTATACAAACAGGAATAAGCACAAATTGCCTCAACTGTATTCAAAAATATCTATTCATTTCACCACCAATATTTACAAGTGACACTTTTTCCTGGAAAGACTGCTTTAAGCCAGAAAAACCTCATAAACAGTACAGGGAGAAGCGAACAAATTAATTAAGAGCCTCAATATTGCCCATTGACTGCAAAAGAATCGAAGTTATATTTTTATTTTTTCAGGGAAAGCCAAGAATCCAAAAATAGTGGTTTGACTCTAGACACCTCCATAGATCTTGTGAAAGAGCTAATATGCTCCTTCAGTAACAACAGCTGCCCCATTTTCAAACTAACCCAGTTGCAAAAACTATGTTGAGCAAAGTCTGTATAACTTGAAGTGCTTTATGTACTCATTTATCCGTTAGCTATAGTATTTCTTGTTTTACTTAAGAGTTTATTTCTGGTATATAAAAAAGAAAAGGCATTTTACAATGGCAAAACCCCAAATCCTCAAATGTCATTTATACAAAGAGATGTCTACCAACTCTTATAAAGTGCCTGTTGATGTTTCTCACTCTGCCCCACAACAAAGCCCCAAAATCCATTTCCTGTGAAAAAGCAGAATAGTTTATTCTAACAAAGCAAGAGAACTGATCATTTTGGCCCCACCTCTGTAAAAAAAAAATTTTAAAAAATCATCTGAATGCAGGAGATAACATGCAAGTTAAATGCTAAAATCCAAACCTATAGACTTAAAAGAAAGAAAAATGAACTCAAGAAGATGCTCTGGCAAGTCTGGACGTCACCCAAAAACTCATCACTTGCAAAACGAGTCATATCTATAAGATATAAAGCTGCTCTGCCAAAGCATAGGAAGTCAGTTCACGTCCAAGTGGTGCAGTCCTTAGGACAGGGTGGTTATCTGGCAGTACAAGTGTGACATCTAGTGTCAACCACATCCATTTGTTCCCACACTTCAGCCTTCCCAAAAATCCATGAAACAGGCTGTCCATCGCTCACCTGTGGTGTTAAATGCCACAGAGTTATGGTAGTACCTATGGTTAAATGTCTGTGTTAAAAAGCTGTATCAAATATCTTCAAATGCTTTTCTTCCATTAAAAAACAACAAGAAAACCAACAGAAAAATTATGCTTTTACCATATATAATCAATGCAAAAATTTGTCTAAACCTTTAATACCAGATATAAAAAGATCCACTTGATATATTAATGCTATATTGTTCTAGTACAACCTATAAAGTGCCATGTTCTTGAGTTCTTTGCTGGAACTGGGAGACAATCCTTGTGAAAGCTGTTCCCCAAAAGATCATCCTGTAGATTACTTACAGACAGCTCTCTATTACAGAGGCATTTTAAAAAGTCACAGACTCAAGCAATAGAAATCTCTCCTAATCTTCAAAAACTAAGACTATAAAAGATGCTATAGAATTTTAACATTTTTTCACCACCAGCCTCACTCTGGAATCAGGACAATCTCTCCAAATGTCTCTGGTTAGTAAAACCTGGGACAAGACCAAAGTGTTTTATTACAGTTACAGCATTATTTTTCTTAGGTTCTGCACGGCCCCTCTAAGAATACATTAAAAACAATATAAAATAGCAATTCAGAGTTTGTTTTCTTTTCTTATACCTTCATCGTGTTTGTGTACTGCGGAAATGCCTCCTCAAAACGTTCTCTTCTGTCTGTTACGGTGACACAGTTGCAATCTTTGCTCCCAGAACCCTAATGCTTTGCACTTTTGACTGCAAAAACTGCACTGCTGAGAAGTGCAAGGAATCACAAACTGCATCATTTGAGAATTAGAACACCTTACTTTACAACTGTAGTGTGTGCAAGTCATTTCAATGAGATTTAAAAATTACAAATATTCTCAAACCATGTAAGTACAGAAGGTTCTACAGCAAGTAACATGGATAACTAATATTCTACTTCTTGAAACAAAAAACAATAAATAAGTTTGAGTATTAAAACTAAGAAAAACTACTCCTGTACATTGTACAGTACCTTTTGGTTAAAGCTCCCTAGCAAAAATATACTAGTGTGTTCTAAGCATTCCAGTTACAGATGGTTCAATATTAAAATTCCAAGGTCTCCCCATCATGAAAAAAGTATTGCATTTTTCCATAGGTGCAGCAGAAGTTGTCTCTCTCTGAACAAGGCTTCAGTCTTTAAAAATATCTAGACAGTAAGTATGAACTCAAATGAAGCATTAAAAAACTATAATACAGTACTGAGGATATATTGTTGTTGTGCATTACAGGTTTTACATTCCTTCTTGCTTTCAAAAAGCAAAACTAGAGAGCCCACGGGATATCACCGAGGTCAGCTGGATCTCCAAGTCCTCCATCAGCCTCCAGGTAATTCATGAGGGCTGTCATAGCACTGTCATCATTTTCACATATTGCATCAAAGTCCAGCTGAGAATTACCACCTGGAAAAGGATTAAAACATTAGTGTAAGCAGCACAAAGCACGAAGGACATGGGAACTTGCAAAACATAATTGTTTTTAAATGGCACCTTCCTTTGAAAACCCAGTAAGTAATAGAAACAGTGGCTCTAGAAATCAACACTGTACCTTGCCTATCTTGGATAAACCATAGAAAGGTTTGGGCTGGAAAGGACCTTTAAGTGTCATCTAGCCCAAACTCCTGCAATGAGCAGGACCATCAACAGATCAGGTTGCTCTGAGTGCCATCTGACCTGGCCTTGAATGTTTCCAGGAATGGAGCACCCATCACCTCTCTGGGCAACCTGTGCAGTGCCTCACCACCCTCCCTGAGAGAAAATCAATCTTCCTTATAGCGAATCTAAGTTAAATAACTGAAGCAAAAGAGATGGAAATATTTCAAAGAGCTGAAGCACAGGATAAGCATAAACATTGCCTTTTATGTTAAACATAATACAATGGCACTTTCCTCTTAGAGGGGAGAAGGGAATCTTGTATCCAAACTGCTGCCTCAGTACAAACTTGAACACAGGGAAAGAAAAAAACCCCTCTCTGAACTATTTTGACTAATCCTTTGTATCAGCTACTCACAGCTTGCAGCTAAGAGACAAAGTGCTAAAGCAAATTCCCAGCAGTACCCTGACACTGCGCTGAAATACTTTTCCCTACCCATCTTTCTCCTGGAGAGAGAACTAGTAAGTGCCTCATGAAATGGACTGCAAGAATGCAATGGCATTGTGTTACATTGTGCAACTCCTTGTGTTACAGGAGTTATTCTTGCCGTGAGATTGACTCACTGCTCAAATTTTGCTTTGGCCTTGCAGCAGTAACACATCTGTTTTCAGAGTCCTCTTATTGTCAGACAGAGAGAAATCTCTCAACAATCTACACATGCGTATGAAGTGGTGGGTTCAGAAATTCATCAGAGATGTCTTCCCCTGCAACCCCCAAAACATCCCCAAGAGAAATAAACCTTACTGAGGAGAGGTTCGTTACTGGGGAAGGGAATAGCACCCTGGGTTTGTTCTGGGTTCTCTAGAACTTCTGCTTCTGAAGGACATAACTGAATCAACTCTTTATTTGGCACCTGAAAGAATACAAGTAGTAAAAAAGGACAGAATTAAATCCTAAATTCAGTCACAATTATTGCATTACAGCAACATTATACACTACTGTCAAATTATTAAGACCTAAATAGATAGATAGAAGTGAAAAATAAGCATCATCAGGCAGATATTCTGCAGTGAAAACCACGTTTTTTAGAGGTTCATATGGCACTTATAAATAAAAGAGTGTTTAAATAAAAGTGTGACTTACACATCTGCCAAAGGTAGATGTGTAAGTCTTAAATGCATTTAAGTATGTCAGGAAACAACAACTGAAATGGGAAGATAAACTGCCCTTAAATGGAAATAAATTTACATTCAAAGAAGTGATGATGAATTCATACAATGCACAATATACAACAGACAATACACTTAGGTAAAAAAAAAGTTAATTATTCCATAGCTGTGGTTAATAAACGCATTAATTACAGTTTGTAGTGTTACAAGCAGTACTAGATTAGCAAAACAGCACATTCTATCAATTTTAGAAGACTATTGAAATACTTTCAAAGTCACAACATTTCCAAACAGCACAGATCTTTTAAAATTGTTTTCAATTACATTAAGATTAAAAGCAAATGAGAGAAAACATGAACTTCTTGTCAAACTGAACAGGTGACTTTTAGCCTCTGATGGTTATCTAGCAAAAGTTTTCATTCCAAATGCAGGAGAGTCATCATCACATGAATCACACTCATGTTCAGCATATCTGTAGAGCTTCAGCAGAGACTCTACTCACTGAGTTGAGATCGAGTCCCCTCAGCCACAGGAGTAGCCCCTTAAGGCTTGAACTGATGCCCTCATAAATGAGGTTGGAACTGCTGTCACATCTCTCAAAAGACTTTCAGAGCCACCAGGTAGTTGGCAGCACCTGACACATCCTCTCACAAAAGACAAGTCAGGACAATTTAGCTCAAACACAGGCTTTGAGCTGACATTAACCTTTTAATTTTACGTTCACAGGCAGTGGCATACTCACATCGCTGCAGTTCACAGTTAAAGCTGGAGAAGGTGACTTTCTCAAGAGATGTGATGGACTTAACTCTCCAGATGGTGAAGAACGCAACCTAAAATTGGGTATGTTGAGTTGATTTACCAGGTCACATGAATCAAACACTGAAAAATAGCCTTTGTGTTGCAGAACCCACCAGACCTCCCCAGTGACAAAGCCCAAGTCAGCTAACTCGAAACAATGATGTCTTCAATTCTCCTGAAGATTGTAAATTCTCCTGCTCCAAGTTTTGGTACCAGAAAAAGGAGCAGAGGTGATCAATAAAGGCCATGGGTCATAATTACCTGAGCAGACTTTTATTTCTCTGTTGAATCACCAGCACTGACAGAGCAAACAGTAACAGGTTTCAGAACTATGTACCTTTTGTCCCAGTGTATATTTCAAATACATACAGAATGTAGGGAGCAAAAGGAAGTTCTTAAATGGTGAGGGGAAAATAACACATCCTTCTAATGCTCTGCTATTATTGTATTACACTGATCTTTCCACATTTTCATAACATTCCAACTAAAAATAAAGATTCCTTATTTGTTACCAGGATTCTTTGAGGGGCTGCCCAGGGAGGTGGTGGAGTCACCATCCCTGAAGGTGCTTAAGGAAAGACTGGATGTGGCACTTCGTGCCATGGTCTAGTTGTCAAGGTGATGTTAGGACATAGGTTGGACTTGATGATCTCAGAGGTCTTTTCAAACTTAATTGATTCTGTGATTCTGTGAAGATGATGTTACTTGAAAGATCTTCACTAAGAGGACAATCAAGCACTCCCCAGGGAAGCAGCCATGACCTCAAAGGCTGCCAGTGTTCAAGAAGTGTTTGGAGAACACCCTTAGCCATCTGGTTTAACTTTTAGGTTGCCCCATATAGGGCCAGGAGTTGGACTTGATGACCCTCATGGGTCCTTTCCAACTCAGAATATTCTGTGGTAAGAAACTACTCCTTATATTTTTACTACTGTTGCCAAAATTGGTGTACTTGTAATATTTATAATTACTTCTCTTTCAGGTCCAATTACAAAAGTACCAGTGAAAAGAATTCCATGGCACCTTGGAACACACTACCCTGCAGACATGAAAAGTTTCTTGGCTTTCCTTTAGCCAGAACTGGAAGAGTAAGATCTAAACTCCGAGGGACAGCTTCATTATCCAAAGCTAGTATTTCGATGCTCAGATATTACCATCATCCTAAATTTGACCTTAACAAGAGTGGCTGAACCTTCTGATGAAGCCTTAATTCCTGCAAGAGTTGTGACTGAAAACAGCCTTTTCTGTGCATGTGCATCTCAAAGTCCTGGAATTAGGGAGCTCAGAGGCTTTGTAAGAAATGTTCTTAGACAACCAATGCTGATAAAAAGCAAACAGACACAGCAATATCCTCTCCCTCTATAAGCAAGTCAGGCACCACTGTGGGTGCACGACACAAAGAATACAGAAGGAGATATTCACATTAAAATTATGCTTCTCTCTTTCAAATTCCTTGGCTAGTTATTTTTAAAAGGGCCAGTCTTTAACAGCTTGAATCTTGTGCGGATTCCCATCTGGAATTACATGGTGAGGGTTTTTTTAATCTGTGTGTGAGTACTGGGAAGGAACTGTGCTATCAGGAAAGGGACAATACAGACTATTGAATCACTCCAGTGGGGACTGTTTCAGAGGAAGTTTTCCTAGCAGAGCAAAGCTATCAGAAAAATACAAAACACTGCTCTCAGACAACCCATTTTCCATTCCCAAATAGTTCATATCCCCAGTTCAACATCATGTGAAGCAGCTGCATCACAGTAACACTTTGAAAGTCACAGTTAAATAATACTTTAATTAAAGGAAACTGCATGCCCAGAAGCAAACTACTTATGAACACCAGTGATGTGTTCTGCCTTGCATGAGACTGGCACTGGATAATAAGTGGTACCTTATAATGCCACTGCTCAGCCTAAAAATAGTTTAGACAATTAACACAGGAAAACTGAAACTTGCACAACCCCCACATAATCATGTATAGCTCTTCCCTGCTTTTACTTAAAAGCCTAATGATGATGTTAAGCAATTATTACCTTTGCAATTCTAATATTTCATTTGCAATTTCAGTTCCTATACTTCCAGCACCAAGAACTGTTCCAGAGGACATTCCAGGTACACTTACTAGAGACTGTTTTGCAGCATCTGCAGATTAAAAAAAAAAAACCAGCAAAACAAAACCTTAAATTTGCACAGCAAGGATTCATTTTAAAGCAGTTTTTGTTCTGTATCTCTTGTTTTCAGAGATTAAATTCCTTAAAACACTGATTACATGTTGTCTCATTTGCAATATAAAGACAAGTGAATAATCTATTTGTGAAAATTGCTGATCTCCAGTAGTGAAATAAAGCTTTAATCATTGCCACCTCCAGTCTTTCTCACAGACAATGCAAAGCATGAGGGGGAAAAAAAAATCCTTGGATTTTTCACTAACTGAAATCAGTTATTAAAAAACCATTTTCCAAAGCAAAAATAAAGCCCTTATAGCAATAGTTATGTTACTTTATAGCTCTAGGTGACAAAACAGCATGTGGAAAGCAGAATCTGTGCACAGCAGAAAAACATTAACAAAATACATATCTTTACCAGTATTGACACACTGTATTCTACAGGTAAACTCAGGCAGCACAATTGCATTTCTTCAAAAAAACTGGGCAAAACATGAATAGAGTCTGTGACAGAAGCATAATATCCTATCAACCCAAACCCCAGCTATAGCAGGAGCTGCTAGAAATTAAAGTTATGCTACAAATGCTTCTGCTTACAGTTCTGTGAATTATGATGCTGTAAGCAACTAGAAACTGTCACCAGAACGAGCTTTTAAAAATCTTAATCCTTTCTTGCACACAGCCTAGAATAAAACGATTCCTGGACTGAATCAATCTAAAATGGCAGATCAGGAGATGCAGCTATGGTAGCTGTGAGAAGTGACACTTGCCTTCTGCAGGCTGGGAGCTGTAGAGGACATCATCTTCAGCTGACTCCTTGTGACCTCTGAGAGTTAAGCAAATTAAAAAACCCAAAACAAACCACAAGAAAATTAGCAATGTTTTCAAGGGCAAAATCCAGCATATTTATGCTTGATTTCAGTAACACTTCACATAGAATAAAAATTGACATACTCAGACTAATAATGATTAAGATGTTCCAATGTGCAACCCTTTGTACTGTTTCTGAAGGCAAAATGTTGATTTCCACTTATTCTCCAAATAAAGGAGAAAGCCATTGTGGTTGTCTGTGCTCCCTGACAAGAGCACAAGGCTGTCATTTTTACTGCTAGGAGAACCAGGTAACCAGAAACAACTGCTACAAGGACAGGTCAGTGGCTGCCTCCTGCCAGCAGCTGCTGCCTACCTTCCCTTTCCAGACAGCTGCAGACACCCAGGTCTCCAGGGCAGGCAAGTGTCCTTTGGCTACTGGCCAGCACAGACTGTCTGAACTGCTCTTCTCTGTCTTCTTGAGGAAAAAGGACATGTGCAAAATGGGTGGGTGATGTTGACTTAAGGCATGAACCAGCTCCAGAGTGGGTAAATGGCCCCTAGGAGAACTTTGTTTAATGGAAATAAAATCCTCTGTCTCCCTCTCAAAAACCCAATAATTGGCAAAGATGCTCAGTATCACTGGGACAACCCAAATTATGGGTCCATTACAAAGTACAGATAGTGAAACACAAGGATTAAGAAAGAACAGAATTGAGCACATGCATTTACTGCCCCACAGGCTCCTTCCTTGCAAGCCATTTGGAGAGTATCTTTCTGTCCTGCCTTGCATTTCTACCATTTATCAATCATTCTTCTGCAACTTCTGACACTTGGTAGGTAGAGCAGCACTTAAAATTGGGTCAACTGACACAGGCAGTCTTGTAAAGCTCAGATGGAAAAGCAGAATTAGCTTGACATTTCCATTTATCCATATCTACTTTTCTTAACAGATCCTTCTTCCTCTAAGAAGAAACTTTCACCTCATTTTTTCCTACTGGGAAACAGCACAGTTTTCAGAATCAAATCCATGACTTAAATCTGAAATAAAAATACAGGTCAATGCCAAAAAAATGTTTGTCCAGGTTTCCTCAGCCACTTTTTGTGGCGTGTTGGTATTTTCTAGCCTTGTTCTGCTTCTTAAACAGGCACTTCGTGCTAACGCTAACTGTCATGAAGACAAAAAAAATAACACGGAAATTCATATAAATTACTTACAATACCACAGTGTTGTTTGATACAATGTACTCCAGCTCTTTGGTCCATGGGTTCATGAAACTAAACCACTGACTCTTTAAAGTAACAAAAGTCCCATCTTTTGCTCTAAATTTGTAGGAATTTGTAAATACTTTTTCTTTATTCTGCAACACTAGATAAGAAAGGAAAATTATCATCACCATATACATGCTTAGAAAGGTAAAAACTAAAAACAAAAAAAGAAGTAACTAAATGTTTTATAGCATCATAAAACCAAAATGCTTTGCTGGCCACACACACAAATTAAATGCCAGAACAAACTGACAGGACAGGACACGTTTGAGCATGAAATTATAGTCTCAGCAGTGTTATAAATCTTACATTAAAGACCAGGAACTGAGTTTCTGCAAACCACTAGAAGGGAAACTCATGACCTGGTGAACTTCCATAATCAGTGTCTTTAATGACATTATCAGGCACATTGGCTCTTCAGGATTCCTTTCTCATCCTTATAAACAATGGAAGCAGAAGGTTGACAGATGTATTAATATTATTCCATCTTGATCCAAGACACCACTTTGTCCCTGCTTTTACTACAAGCTTTGCATGGGCTTAGTGCAGACATCAGAAAGGACAATGCTAAGGTTGGCTAGTTTTATTCTTAGCTTCTGAATTTTGATTTGCAGTGTTTTCACTTGAAGTTACACATAGCTCTAAGTATTCTGGGAGGACCAACTGGTTTGTACCTTCTTTATGCTTTTCAGCTAGATGATTGTGATCATCCTGGTGGCAGTACTCGTAACAAGAAGTTCCTAGAAGCTCTTGTGGCAGATACCCTAAAATTGCTGTTGCGCTGTTAGAAATAAAAACATTAACTACAGCAGGTTCAAACAACTGCAGAGCTGTTTTCTTCAGTAGCAGATAAAGCAGAAAAACTAATATTTAAACCAATTGATGCTTGTGTTCATGTTTGGGAAAAAAATACATAGCATTAGTATAGCTCTAAACCAAGAGGAAAGACTGACTTTGAATTCTCTATTTGCAGTGAGTGGAATTCATACCAAAAAAACCCAGTTTAAACAAGCAAATCATATGTACACACAAAATACCCATGGTCATTAGGTCTCCCCATTAGCCAGTTGAGTACTGGTCACACATAAGGAGTCATCAGAATTTCAGTGGTTGAAGTTTTGCTCTGCCACTCAAAGGAATAGGTTTAAACTGACACTTTCAGACAAAACAGAAGATGACTGAAAGCAATAAAGTTTCCAGAGACACTAATGAAATTCAAAATGGTAACTCAAGTCTCCACAACAAAAGAGTCCAAGTTCGGGGTAAAAAGTCCAGAGTTTTGGAACTTGGCTTTCACTTCTAATGAAATAATTTGCTAAGTCACTCAGATATAAAGTATTTATCCCAAACAGTAAGATTTTAAGAAGTAATAACTTTTGGTTAAATGTTTATTATTTTAGCCACATGCAGAACTAAGAAGCTCTAACTTGAGATTTTTCTTTATGGGTAAGTAAGCACATGAGTGCATTTAAAAACATATTTCAGTCTTGTTAGCCCACAGTACACTTCTATACATTCTGTATTATGCTTGACAAGCAGACTCAGAATGAACAGCAGGAAAGACTCTGAAAATGAGAATTTTTGAGAACTTTCAAAAAATTCTCAAAAGCTTCTGTGAATTCTAATCGTATCCTGCTTGAGAAACAACAGTTCTAACAGAAAGCCCCAGAAAACTGAAGCAGTGGTGTCATTTGTTTGTCTCCATTAAAGAACAAATTGCTTACCGCTGATCAACATAAACAAACTTTCCATCCATGGCAAATCGTGTAACAAACTCTGTTGCTTTGACTTTTATCTCTCCACTCTTTTGTGGAACAACATAAGGATGTAACCTCCCAATTGCAACAAGACAGTTAAAGTTACCACTGTCCTTTTCTACATCATTTTCCTCTTCTACTCCCACCTCATTAGGAGGCCAGTTCTTCAAGTACCCAGTACAGTGAATGGTACAGTATTTCTTGTGATCTAACAAGAACAAAGACATTAAATAAGAACCAGTTATTGTTCAAAAAGTAAACCAAATTACTTAATTTTTAGTCCATTCACAATAAGACCCCCAACTATATTTTAGCTTACCTACACCAACTGTACAAAGCTATAGATGTTTTTACAGAGGATTTTTACATTGATTTTATACTACTTAATTCTGGCTTACCTGGAGAGAGCTCTTCCAACCTTATGTAAGATTTAGGAAGAGAAGTTTTAGGTGTTGGCAATTCAAACACAGTCTCACAGACAAAAAAAAGTAAACCAACAGTCTGGTAACCCACAGATCACTTTGTCTTTGTGCCATTTGATATGGATTGTAAATTAAAACTGACTGGAGAGGCTCTCTGCAGCTTCCAAATAATCTACCTTGTGCAAACACAATTGTAACATATGCTTACTGCAATTGCTAAAGAATCAGTTGAGAACAACCCAGAGCAATCCAGTTTATTGCCTGTTTACCTTAGGCTCCTGAATCCCTCGATTTTATGGGAATACAATTATTCTGAATGTCTTACAGCACATGCTGTCATTCATTTTCATTTGCTGCCTACACAACTTATAAACACAGTCACAGGCATCAAGGCACAGTCTTACACTAACTGTCTTTCCAAAAAAATGCATTCTTGATATCTCTACGCTCAATGTGAGGCTTTATATAGATTTGACTTCCTCTCAACTACAAAGACCACTTACCGATGTAAAATGAGAAACTGAGTTATCCTACTGTGACTTTGCCACAGCTTCTGAGCTTGCCAAGGTGCCTTCCCTCAAAGCTGCTTTCCCAAGGAAAGTTCATACAGGTTAAATGCTTATCTCACCAAGTTACCTGACACATCAAGGGATACCAAACTCTATTTACTTACAATTACGGGTCTCTTAAAATCTACAGGTGTGTACATTGGAAAACAGAAGCTGAAGGGCTTTCTCAGGCTCAAACAATTTCAGCACACACCTTTGCAAAAATCAATACTGAAGTATTAAACAAAAAGCTGAAAATTACATTTTAAAATTGAAATTTTCCCTGAAAACTTGACAGGAGTATTCTGCTGTACAGGCACACCAAAATATGAAAATTATTGGCAAAACCAAATGGAATTACACTGATCAATTAGCTTTACTATGAAAGGGAGAAAAAGGGAAATTCATACTTTTAAATACACACAACACAAAAAGTAAATCAGAAAAAAGTTGGGTTTACTTGCTTTTTTTTTCCTTAAAAATAGTAGAGTTTGCAGGCCTTATTGACTCAGTTCTCTTCAAGACATAAGTTATTTAGTTTCATTCTTCTCATCTGCTCCAGTTCTTTCAAATATTTCCCTGAGACTTCTAAAATTTGACCACAACAGACCACACGCTCCCAAACAGCTACTGTAACTCAAGTTCCTCCCTCCCTCTTTTCCAGGAGTGAAGAGGGAGGAGAAAGAGTACAATTAGTCTGTTTTTCAGGACGTGCCTCTGGTACATATTTACCCTTCTCTACAGCTACTGTGTGAGACCAGTGACAACTAGAAGGGTCACACTACTGACTCAGAATTTAAACACACCAAGCTTCAAGACAGAAATTCCCTACTGTTTGAGTACCTTTCTTCTTTGGGTTGGGCAAGCAATCCTTCTCTTCTTTGACTGTGGTCCTACTGCACTTGATCCGACAGAAGAAGGAACGCCGAGCACCAGAGTTCAGCCGAGCTGGTCCAGCTTGGAAATCTGTGTGTACTCGCAAGCCAGCTTACAAAAATTCAGTAAAGCAGTTAAAAAACCCCCAAAATCAAGCAACAAAACTTCAGAAAACAAGATGTGTTCTCCATTTTCATTTCCAGTACTTTCTCCTTCCTGTCTTTTTAGGGGTCACAGAGTGGCAGGTTAATGGTTGGACTTAATGATCTTAGAGGTCGCCTCCAACCTTGATGATTCTATGATTCTAATTGCCTAAATTTTGTCCTTACAATTAAAAGAATGGAGTAAAACTTAAATATGACAAAGAAAACATGACTGTGACATGGATCCTAAAATTAACTACCAAACTACTTTTAAACCCTGAATGGTATTTTAATAAATAAACTTTCAACTCATATTTGGTACAAGGAAGAACAGCAAAGATGCTTGCAAAATCCAACTCTTAAGACAGGCTGTAGCTGCACAGTACAAAATGCTTTGCATATTAGAAATAACTGCAAATAAAACAAGATCTGGTTAAATTAGGATTGGCACTTAGCATTTTCAGAGAAGACAGTGATTCTTGGTATTGAAGTATTTTATCCCATCAGGTCTTTTGTATTGACAAGGCCTAGCAAACACAAGAAAAAAAAGTAGTATTCCTGGTAGGAAGAAGGTCAGAGCAGAGCTTGGTAAATGTTTAACAGTGCAAGTTTCAGGAATTCTTATTCTCTAAAAATCAATCCTTTCCTGAGCTAACTTTTAAACTGTAAATACACATTCAAATCTGTCTGGGTCACAGAAATGACACTCATGCACACAAACACATGACTATATCCTGTGTAATAACTAGACTTGTTAATATCTCTTGAAAAAAATATGAGCATGTTCAAACTGGACTTACTTTTTCCATCTATGAGCTTCTCCCTAGGTGATACATCTGATGAAGAAAGTTGCTCCTTCACTTTTGCAACATCTTTTGGATGGAGGTAATCAAACAAGCTTTGTCCAATCAAACTAGCCTAATTAAAAAACAAAACCCAAAGAGGTAAGAGCCACATCATTTTGGAACAGCCCCACACACATGATACTTAGCTCAGAAAAACAACTGTTTACACCATTAAAGTCAAATACCACAGTTACTCTAAATATCAATATTTTGAATCATGTTTCATTTGCTTTTGTTTAATACAATTTTTATTTAAAAAAAAGAGTAGTAAACCCACCATTTGTTACTTCCCTTGAAAAACAGCAGATATAGTTGGATGTTAAACAACAGCTTAATGGTTTATTTATGTAAGTAATACAATTCCTGATCCTAGCCAAAGAAGACCAAGCACAAAGTAACCACTCTCAGATTATCGGGGCAGGAGGGAAGACACAGGAAATAGGAAGAAATATTCATCTACCTAATTACTCCAATTTGCTTGGACAAAATGGCACCACTGGGCCAGGAGCAGCAGTCAGCTCACTTCAGCACTCCTTAGTCACAGATGTTTACAGCAATGTCTCTAGCTGGGATCCAGTCAAGCTCCTCACTCTACTTATCCAGAGTAACTGGTCTGCTGTTTCTTTGGAGGAGGTGATTCTCCCCCTCTACTCTGCACTTCTGACACCCCACCTGTAGAGTACTTCAGCTCTGGTGTCCCCAACATAAGGACATGGAACTGTTGGAGCAGGTAAAGAGGAGGCCATGAAGTTGCTAAGAGAACTGGAGCCCCTTCCCTAGAAAGACAGGCTGAGGAAGTTGGGGCTGTTCAGCCTGGAGAAGAGAACATTGTGTGGAGACCTCATAGCAACCTTCCAGTACCTAAAGGGGCTACAGGGAAGCTGGAGAGGGACTTTTGGTTAGCAACTGTAGTGACAGGACAAGGAGTAATGGGTGTAAATCGAAAGAGGAGAAATTTAGACGAGATACTAGGAAAATGTTTTTTCCTGTGAGGGTGGTGAGACACTGGCACAGGTTGCCCAGGGAAGCTGTGGCTGCCCCAACACTGGCAGTGTTCAAAGCCAGGTTGGATAAAGCCTTGAGCAACCTGCTCTGGTGGGAGGTGACCCTGCCCAGAGGAAGGTGGGTTGGGATAAGATGATCTTTGAGGTCCCTTCCAACCCCTTAACATTCTATGATTCTGTGATTCTTTTGGAACAGGAATAAATTTTCACAGAAAAGGGCTAGTTTTGGGTTTTCCATTGCTTACCTTCAGCACAGCAGACAAAATCAATGGGCAGAAAGGAGCAGTGTTGACAAGCACTACTCTAGATTCACATTGCAAGTCAGGATAAACATTCAGCCTCTTGAATTTGCCCAGACCCTTCTAACCCTAATGCAGAGGGAAAATACTGAGTGCTGCTGAGAAAAGCTTATAGCAGCCTTGGCAAAATACATCAGTGTAACAGAGAGATTAGACTGCAGCATGAGATTCATGACCTAGAATGATTCCAAAATAAGCTAATAAATGTGGGATAAGTCAGTCGTGTTCTCTGAATCTCTTTGGCTGGAATAGAGAAGATCTTATGGGTCTGGGAGTAGGAATGTCTGAGGTAAGTGACTACAGAAACGCACTTTCAGTCCTTGAGTAAATTCAGTGTAGAAGTTTAAAGAAAAAAATAAAATGTGCTTTCTGCTTGTTCCCCTAAGATGATTCATTTATAGTTTGTGGGTTTTTAAAAAAAGATAAAAATAAATCCATGCAACAGAGTCCAGATTGGTTATCCTTACATTTATGAAGGAAATGAAGACAGCACAAATGGTTTTAAAATTACAGAAGTAGACAGATGGAAGCACTAACTGTTTCAGCCTCTCTTTGTGAAATAGAAGGCACAGATACATGAACAAATGATCCTGTCTTGATGATTTGTGGTAATTGTCCATGATGTTAAACACCAACTAAACAAAGCTACTAATCTCTTTCCTATTTCCCTTATTCTACAGCTAAGCTAACTCCCTTTCAGTTCCCTCAAGTTAAGAGTACACACTGGGAGAGGGATTGTGGACGATGTGTTATGTAGTGCATCCAAGCATAAAGGCATCACCAAGCAAAGCTTTAATTAACTTCCACTGCTGAACTACCAATTTGCCTTGGCCTAAAAAGAAACCAAACTCAAAATTACTTCATTCTTTAAAAGAAAATCTCTTGCACACAGAAATTAGGACATCTTCAAATTATCCCTTCCTCAGACTAGCAGTTTTCTTAAGGATGATCCATTGAAATATGGTGCTGCTACAGGTCAGGAACACTGATGTACTTGCAAACTTTCTGTTACAGGATATTCAGCTCTACTCTGAAGAAGGTTAAATCAAAGAAATTCCAATAAATGCCACACCAAGTCTGATTTAAATCAAAGAAATTCCACAAAATGACACACGGACTGGGTTTGAGCGATACAGAATAAAATGTAAAAGTTTACAAACTTCTCAGAAAATGCAAGGTAAGAGCAAACCATAAACTCAACTATAACCACCTGATCATAGTTCAGTATTTTGCAAACCGATTCAGAGACGAACAGAATTTTTCCTCTGTTGCATCCAACCACAAACAGGAATCCATCTGCAGCCTGGAAATATAAAAACAGTGTATTTTAAAACATACAATTAAATATACAACGAATATAAATGACTACAAGAAAGCACACTTTTAAACCTGATGTTTAAAATTAAATACAAGGGCCTGGAGTGACAGGACAAGGGGGAATGGCTTCAAACTGACAGCAGGTTCAGATTGGATATTGGCAAGAAATTCTTCCCTGTGAGGGTGGTGAGGCACCGGCACAAGTTGCCCAGAGAAGCTGTGGCTGCTCCATGTCTGGAAGTGTTCAAGGCCAGGCTGGATGGGGCTCTGAGCAGCCTGGACTAGTGGGAGTTGTCCCTGCCCATGGGACACCTTCCAACCCAAACCATTCTATAATTCTACAACACACACCAAAAAGCAATTAAGATTGCAAGGACCAAGTCAGGCCTTCAACTACAGACAGCTGAAGTTTCTTAGACACAGCTTTGGCAAAAAAGGCAGCCAGCTGCAACACAGCTTCGCCTGGGAGCCATTTACAGGCCTTGGCAAAGTCTGTTACTGCAGCTTAGGGGAAAGAAAATAGTTGCAAATGAGAAAGGATAAAGGTGTGGGTATGTGATGAAGTGTGCAAACAAGACCCGAGATTTTATTTCAGATATTATTTCTGCATCTTTTTCAACCTTGCCTGAAGGAAAAGATGTGAGACAAAGCACTCTCCAACTAACAACTCAAGTTCATGGCAAGTTTTAATGAGGACTTGAGTTAACTGAGAGTTTCCTTCCACTTACCCTAAGGATTAACTGTCGGAGTTCATTGTCCTTTAAAAATGAAGGTTTATACCGAACTTCCGTGTAGGAGCTGCTAGAACCTGCAAAATGGGTTATTCATGGATACCATGTCAGATGTCACATTTTACATTTATTTTCAACAGTTAGACTTGTTAAGGAGAGACTGGATGTGGCACTTAGTGCCATGGTCTAACTGACATGCTGTTAGGCCACAGGTTGGACTCGATGGTCTCAGAGGCCTTTTCCAAACTGATTGATTCTGTATTTTACTATTTTTCTCTGTGACCACAAGAGCTGAATAAAATTAATTAATTACAAGTTCTATAAATTCTAAAAATAACAAAGATCTCATAAACACACTCTGGTAATGAACACAGGCACGTAACCATGTTTTTTTCTGCCCTGCCCTTAGCACAAACCAAGAAAACTTCTGTTCAGACATCATTAATGTACTGCTAGAGAAATGGTATGGGAATTGAATTTTCTACAAACATTGCACAGGCCTATTTCAGAATCCTTAACACTTGCTGAAACTGAATAACTCTAATGTTATCAGTTGTCTTTTGGCACGAATAATGCTACCCAACAATCCAAACACCACACTATTGTAGTAGAATGTCTCACTGAATGTAGTGTGACTGACTCACTGCAGGTATTGTTCTAGCACACATGGCAAGCTCCAAGATAATTTTTATCTATCGCAAGCATTTCTAGAACCTTTTCTACATATTTTTGAGGTAAACAGCAGTTGAACTTTCCAGCAAATATCATCATTCACTATAATTCCACACTGTACCTTGCATTTTCTTAAACCATTGGTTTCAAAGATGTATATAACTGCCCAGTGGAGTCCAGTTTCATACCCTAGTGTTAAAATATTGGTGTTTGAGCTGAAGATTTCTTGTACATGCTTATTTAAGCTGAAGTGCAATTACTGCCCTGCTGATTTGTCACATCATTTTGTTACACAAAACTCTCAGTCTCCTTGGGCCAACCAACCATTTTGTTCAAGTTTTGGTTTGTCTGGCAACATTCCTTTTGACTCCTGTACTTTTAAAAAAGCATCAAGGAGTGACTTGAATGCAAGACATACCCTTAGCAGAGAGAAAATACCAAACACTGAAGGGTGGCTCTGTTTTCTGCTATACTAAGCAAAAAGAATTAAGTTCTGGAAGCTACAGATGTGGATTTAAATGAGAAGCAGACTCTGAGCTAAATACAGTAATGAAATGTAAAATAAATTATCCTGGATTTATGTAGCATCAAAGAAGATGCACAGTGTAAGTCCTGTTAGAACAAGGGCTTAGAGGATTAAGTTTCCCAAAACTCACCTTTTAAGGATTTCAGGTGCTGCACAGCCATCCTTAACACTGTGAGTTTGTCCAGCTTTCGGGCCATGGGATTGCACTGAGGGATCATAGCAGACAATTCCTCTATCAAATTATTCATTTTGTCTCTTCTTCGTTTCTCTGTCTGACTGTGAGCCTCTCTAAGGAGAACAATCATTGCAAGAAAGATGTAGAACACATGATTTTCCTCATAATATTCAGCTATTTTGGGAATGGAACATATCACAAGTACTACTGACTGGAACAGTTTTTCACAAATGAATTGTATTGGACAATTGAATTGGATTTACTTGAGCAAAGCTGAAATGGTCACAGCAATGATGTGAAATACTGAGGTGAAAAAATACTCAAGCAACAATCTGGTTATATGTGGTAGGCACAAGAGGCTATGAAGACTTATAAAAGTTAAATTACTGACATCCAAGTGATTACTTGGACTCCATCCTGTATACCAGAGAACTCCTGATGTCATTATTACTTCTGCTCCCTGGCCCTAGCTCCACCTGACCAGTGTAACTAAGATGGGACATTCATTCTACCCTTTTTTTTTTAGTGAATGTCTCTGCACTTGCTAAAGCAGCTCTGAAATCTGTCTTATGCAAACTCACAACAACCTGAGATGAGCGATGTCTTCTTGTTATCTCATTAGCCTAAACATCCCTCAGAGTGAAGGCAGACACAAACACAACCATCTTCTCACAGCACAGCAACGAACAGTACATTTATATGAGCTTTTAAGGGATGGAGGGGAAACTGAAAGAAAAACCTATACCTTGTGTAATCTACCAGAAATAACTCAGAAAACTTTCCCCTTCACTCAGGTGCTACAAAGAGTTTCAGCCTCTGGACATACTCTGTCTCAGCTTTCATCTCTTGGTAAGCCTCTGCCCAAGAACTCAGCCACAGAAAGAACTTCTCTTGTTGGACAGTTTTCATCAGAAAACTGCTTCTAAGGCACATGACTGCACATCACAAGTATATTTGGACCTCAGGTCCCCTTTTCTTTAGTTCTTTCTACTGTTAGCTTTTCAGCTCATTTTGTGCTCTAAAACACCCTCTGGCAGATGAAGAGTTTAATTCCTTCTCTTCCCTCCTTACCCAGAAGACAAATCAGCCACTCAGTTAAAACAAAGCTAATTTTCCTTTCTCATTGAGACCAGACACAGTAGTAGTAAACAAACTGAGAAACAACTTTTGGTTCACTTATCTCGAAAACTCTTCCTCTTAGGCAAACCATAACAGAAGCTATTAAAGGTAATAAAGCTAACTACTCCTGGCCTGTTGAGGAAGAACAAAGTACACTTTCAAAGACCTAGAGGGGTATTACTTTTATTATTTTTAAAAAATATACCAATGACTTCACCACACAACTAATTCTGGGTCACTCATCCCAGCAATCAGCTTTTCTCTCTCTAAAGTCCTTTTTTAACATTTAATTTTATGAGTTATGCTCAGCTTTATGGGTTCACCCAACTTTTTCTTTGTGTCAGCTAGGAACAATCAAGTAATATCCTGCGTCTTCAACTTGAACTGTGAACCTCAGGAAGACAGAAACAAGTATTCCAGGAAAGGAAACCAAACTCCACATCTCTCAGGGTCAATAAGAAGCTATAAAAAGCCAAACAGGTGGATGCAGAAATTCCAGTGAGGACTGGGTGACTCCCAAAGCCTTCTGCTACCTTCCCCAGTTACAGAGGGGAAGGCAGAAAATCAAGTTCCCCAAAAGACTTGAGAAAAGAAACCCTGGAAGAAGGTAACTGCTAAGCAAACCACCAGAAAATCTGCTATTCATTTTCTTTCCTCCAACTAATGAACCAACACTTAAGGGAAAAAAAAATTAACAATACAACATAAAAGGCATTAAAGCAATGTACAACACAATCTTTACAGCAATATCCTGAAGAAAAATTCATTTTGAAGCTAAACAAAACTGTAAATGTATCTTGGAACATTTTAATTTCTTTAATTTTGTTTCAATTACAGGAACACTTCATAATTATTAGCTATAATACTATATAAGTAATACTTCTGACAGCATGCTGAGTGGGTTCTGTATTTCTGGTTTGACATCTTTGCTCACATGAAAAATGAAAGACACTTTTATTTTTAAATCGACTTTACACAACAGCTCTAGTTTTGCTAAGTGGCTTGCCTATAGCTTAAAAATCTGGCTGAATTCTGGCTGCATTCAGCCACAGCATTTCACATCTTACCAGTGCTCTGTGAACTGCAGTTGGTGAGAATTCAAAGTTCAATGGCAAACCTTGAATAATTCGCTATACAAAGACTTGTTCCAGAACAAGAATTCTTTGTCATGCTTTAGCTGAATCCATTTCCATAGGGGATAAATTTTAAACACCTCCAGGTGTAGACAAAGCCAGGAAAAGCAAGTCTCAAATCCATAAGGATGAAGGATCAGCTCCTCCCTTTGTACATGACTTTACTGCATTTAATTCTCACCTTGAAAATTTTATCCTCATGTTTTTGATAAACCATCTGAGATATTATTAAAATTAGTAGAAAATATAATCCTCAAGGAGGCTCTAAAAATTACTGCACATTTAGCAGGGAAAAGCAAAAACATACTGTTAATTATGACAGTTTTAACGAATGTTAGCCACAAACCCATAATTTACTATTGTGAATCCCAGTATTGACTAGCAAAACTTTTTTCTAGTGCAAATTAGTACCTGAAATCCTTTATTTTAACAGGTTCTTCATCTTCACTCCTAAAAAAAAAAAAAGCAAGATATAGAGTTTTGCATTGCATATTTAATACTATAGGCACTTCTTTCCTCCCACAAATTCCAGAAGATGGAAAATGCTGCACATCGGCTATGGCTCTGGCAAAAGCAAACCCACAAGAATTTCTAAACCAAAACTGAGCTAGCAAGTGATGTGCAATAGAAAGAGACCAAAGCAGAACTTCCAATATTCACATATTCTGGGGATATTTCGTAATTATGGGGTTAGTTTTATCCTGGAGAAAACAACACAATTGGAACATTCAAATAACTTAAGTCTAGGCTTGATTTCAACTTTTTCTATTTAAAATTTTGCCAGGGAGATCATCTATTCATGGCTTTTCTTCTCAAATCTTCTTGTCACATGATGAAATAAGCAATCCTTGCCTAGGCTGGGCCTCAATTATACCTTAAAAAGTAACAATAAAGTATTTTCCCATGCAGCAATGACTGGAAAGTCTATGTAGTAAAATTGCAAAGTAAAATTGTGAATTAAATTGCAAATCAAACACAGTCATAGTGTACATAGACACTGGAACACGTAATTATCATGATAAAGACCTGGCAGCAGGAAAGCAGAGAGGATGATTCAAACAAGGGCAAATTGATCTTTTCTCCCCTAAGACCACTGTATTCCTCACCAGGACTTATGGAGAATTTCAGCACATGCCCTGCTGTACCAGGAGGATGGTGAGAAGAAAAACCAATGAGTGAGCAGCTCTCTGCCATGAGGAAATGGAAGCAGGAGGACAGTCAGAGATTCCAGCTTTGGGGAAGATGCCAAAAGCTGCTTCCACTGGGACCTAAGCACTGACCCCAGTGAGAATCCAGCAGCCAGGGCCAAACTGACACACAATTCAGCTCTGCAACCTCAGCTCTCACTGGAATCCAGGAATCTCCTAAGCAGTCTGATAGACCCAAACACAGGAGTAGGCTAGGCTCACATGACCAACTTTTCTTGATTGAAACTGTTCAGTTTTAGACAAGTTAGCAATAACCAATATTTTTCTTTCATTCAAAAGCAACTCACCAGAAACATGCATATATTATGAGCCCCAGGTCAATTTACACTGTCTGGCCATAAGAGAAAAGGTAAGAGGGAGCCAGACCAACTGCAATATAGCATGTGGCCTATTAATTAACTCTCCTTCTCCCTCAGGAGCTCCACTTGGGGAGAAAACTAGAACAAATCTGCTATTCAAGAGCTCAGTCACAGCCTTCAATGGATTAATATAGCCTCTGTCCTAACAGCTGTGTTGTTGCTGATATAAATAGCTAATTAAAACTGCCTTAGATGAACATTGGGTGAAATTCCAGTTTGTGGCTATAATGTGGTACTTAACTTGTACTAGAAAGAACAGAATATGTATCTGTCATCAAACAGCATAACCAGATGGTGAGAATTGGTGATCATCCTACTGCTGTGGCTTCACCTTGGATACTGTGTGCCTTTTTGGGCCACACTAGATAAGAAGGTGTTAGGTGAAGATGTGAAGGTCCTTGAATGCATTCAGAGGGCACCAAAAGTGGGGAAAGGGATAGAAGCAATGTCCTATGCAGAGTGGCCAAGGACTCCTGGTTTGTCTAGGTCAGAGAAAAAGAGGTTGAGGTTACTTCCTGCAGCTTCCCTAGGAGGGGAAATGCAGAGGGAGTTGCTGAGCTCTTCTCCCTGGTATCCAGTGACACATGAGAATGGTTCAAAGCTGTGCCATGGAAGGTTTAGACTGGATATTAGGAAATGTTTCTTTACCAAGAGGGTTGTAAAACACTGGAACAGCTTCCTAGAGGGGTGGTCAATGCCCCAAACCTGTACCTGTTTAAGAGGCATTTGGACAAAGCCCTTAACAACAAGCTTTAACTCTCCAACAGAACTCAGGTTTTGTTGGAGAAGATGCTAGTTTGAGCTGCAGAAGCACACTTTGCAGAGAGCAGGAGCAGTCTGGGGAAATGAAATCCATTTGGACAAAGCCCTTAACAACAAGCTTTAACTCTTGGCCAGCCCTGCAGTGCTCAGGCAGTTGGAATAGATGATGGCTGTAGGTCCCTTGCAACAGAAATAGTCTATTGTATAAAAAAGAATATTGCGTGGCTACTTATAAATTAATATAACATCTAAGCAAGGTATCCAGATACAGAAAAAGAAAATGTGACTAAGTAATCACGTAATTAGCAAGCATCCCTTTACATACATACACAAAGGGTTTACTTATGCTGCACAGCCGATTTAACTCTGGTTTGTCATGCTGTAACAGCTTTATTTTAACATAGTTGTGGTAGTTCTATGTTAAAAAGCCCTTGAAAAGGTTAAAACAAGCAAAAAGTGTTTACATGCACCAGTCCTAGAATACAAGACCTTCACCTCCATAGTCTTATTTAACTGGTACTTTGCATCCATTCTCATTCTCAACTTCAGTACCAGCAAGTCTGGTAAAGTTAGAAGCAGAGTCTTCTTAGACAGAAACATCAAGAAACCTTAACACTGGATGGCCCTGTCCATCCTGTTCATTAGCTGAATGTTTAACACCTGCCCATGGAGGAAGCATTCCTTGAGAAACCACACAGCTCATCTAGGCAAACAGGAAAGTGTGACATGTTTACAGCACCGAAAACAGAAACTGATTTGTTGATAAAAAGTACCTTTTCTGAGGATCACCATCAACTTCAACTGTGTCCCTGCAGAAAGAGGCAATAATTTAGCAAAATGCAGTTTGAAGCACACCAAGATGACTTAATAGACCCAATGGAAACCCACTTGATTAGTTATTTTCAGCAACAACATTAACTTTTAGAACTTAATTATAACTTCCTATAAAACATTACTCTTTCAATTGTTTTTTTCAGCTTGGACATGGTTTTGCTTTTTATCAGAGAGTGATCCAAACTATTGATGAACCACCACTGATACTGAACAGGTAAAATCCAGCAAGTGCTACTGAAAAAGAACAGAGACTTTTTTTTGCCCAGGAACTAATGTATTGCTGGAGTTTCCAGTGATGTACAAGTTACACTTGAATCTCCAAGTTGACATTTATATCAACATCCACAGTAGGGCTACACTCTGTAGCTCGATGGAATATATGTGGAAGAAGCAGTGACTAAAGAGAATTGCTTTAATAATCACAAGTATTTGTAAATTTTCTACTCTCCCCCTCCCTTTAAAACATGGATTTTCCACCCTAGTGTGCAGGTATTTGCAATGCACTGCACCTGCAGGCTGCCTTGTGTCCCTTACTTCTGGCTGATTCATACAGCTTTGAGCAGGTGACTTTTCTGGTTAACTGTTGGCATCTGTTTGGCAGTTACAGAAGAAAACAGCTGACAGTATCACCTCAGCAGCCAAGTGTGACCCACTTACAGAGACTGAGCACTACTGTAGGGCAGTCTCCATTTTTAGGTCACAGAGCTGTCTCCACAAGGAGAAATGGCTGTGCTGGTCACTGAGGAAGCAGTTCCCATTCTGCAGTTCACAGAGTTTAACTAGTAATCTCGTTTCATGCCTGAAGGTGCTAGTCTATTATGCACTTGGGAGACTTCAAGAAATGTAATATCTTGCCTTTACTAGCAGGCAAAGGGGAAAACAAAGGAAACAGACCCCCAAAAAGTTAGGATTGAAATTTCAGCATCAGAGACACATTTTACTGGCACTCAAGGCCAGGAAATGGCATTATAGAATCCTATATCTATATCACTCAGATTTAATGATTATTTATAATCTTTTGGGGCTGTCAAGGAAGACATTTGGAAGAACTTGGAAAAATTCATGGTAATAAAGAAAGAGGATTAGATAGTTACTAGGTTGCATAAATAACAGATAAAGGTCTCAAACTTCTGTTGAGACACTTACTGGTTATCAGAGTCACTTCCTTTGCGCTTCCTTGGAATCTCAGGCACAGCAGCATTGAAGGAAGTGGAGGTGGCAGGATTGGTTATTGGATTCATGAGGCTGGAGACTCCAGAGGCAACACAGGTGTTTCCATCTACTGGGAAATGATCTGGGAATGACAAAAAAAAAAACAAAAAAAGCTCAGTGTCCAGTGAAAGCTGCATCATCCTGGATCCATTCAGATTTTCAGCTGGGACAAAGGATTGTCTGTGGGTGGCTTCTGTGCCTCTGGCACAGAAAACAAAGGTTGCACAGCTCCAACCTAAACACAGCAAAGAGTACATTGTCTTCCCACAATCCTGCAGTGATCTCATCAACCCAACCAGCACACCAAGGCAATATAAAACAGCTACTCTGTCTTCCTTGCACAACCTTCACAGACTACACTTAAATCCCCCCCAGCACCTCAGACATCCTGCTGCAAAATCACAGGCAGTGGTAGTAGTTAGCAGATCAAAATACAAGGGCTCCAACTAAAATAAAAAAAATATATAGTATATTGTTTTCTAAAAAAGCTGGATATGCAAAAAATGAACATTTCTGACAAAACCCACAATTCCACATAACATCCATCATGTGAGTTGGAAGAGTCTCGAAAGCTTGTCAAGCTCCCTTCAGGATTCACCTGCCAAGGGAAACTGCTTTGTTTCTGGGAAGGACAGAAGAGAAGCCACAAGCCAAAGGAATCACAGAGACCTACTGTGAAAGGAAAACAGTCTCCAGGAACCTAAGCACTATCACGCTGGTTTTCTGTCTCAGTGCAGAGGTGTCACAAAGAATCAGCTGATGTCTGGGTAAAGAATCAGAATTAACTCTGTTTTAGCAAATCTAGGAACTCCTTTAGGCTTCAGGTGCCAGTGAGGGGCAGATGAGAGATGAAGAGAGGTCATGTAAGGAACTGAGCATCTCCTGCTTCTAGCAGGAGGCAAACCTAAGATGAGTACTTTGAAAATCCAGCAGGAAGGAAAACTGGATGCTTCCTTGTGAGTTTTCTCTTATTTTTTAGCCTCTGTGCTGTCCGTAAATGACAGGTAAAAATATGCAAAAGAATGATACAAAAGCATAGGATTCCCCCCTCCCCCCTTAGGTGTAAACACATCTTACACCAGAAAAAACACCTTCTAGGGTTTTTATTTGTGGCTGGAATACGACGCTGGAGAGTTAAATGAAAATAGGCTAATACTGGAACAGCAGCTTGCCTGGTCTTCCACTAATCCTCTCTCTCTCTCTCTCTCTCTCTCTCTCTCTCTCTCTCTCGTCAGACGACACAAAGTCAGTCCTGTTTTATTTTAGAAAGCTCTTTAACTCATTAAGTCACACAGGAAGTTTCAAAAAGAGAAGTGGACACTCAATAAACATTCGACAAATAAACCTTTGGGCATCTGCAACAGAAAGAAAATTTGGTTACTTCAAATACACATCTCATTCCAGTGAGGGATGTTAAAAATGCATTAGAAGAAATGACATGATAAAAGCTATAAGGACACAAACGGTACACGTTTGAAATATTTTCATGAGTGATCTTCTCTGGTAGTCTCATTTTATATTTCTATTATTATAGCAATTATCAAACCAAAAACAAAACCCCCAACTATTCCAAAGGAACTGTTTATTTAAAAGGAGTAGTTTTAATTCACTTAGGTCACGGCATCCTACAATTACTGGATTAAGCTACTGAAGTGTAATCACACCTCATGAATATTCATAAAGGAGTATTTACTAAACAGAAACCTACGCGATTCAAAGAGCAGAATGCCCTCAGCACAACAGATCCTTCCGTCCTGGAGCAAAGCAGGACAGCACAGACCCACTGACCTAAATACTGCTGCGCACACAGATGGCCAAGCTGCTTCCTGAGCCACTTCCCTTTAAAGGAACAAAATGCAATGCCTCTTCCACAGTTTTTCCGATTTATCCATCCAAATAATTATTATTTTTTCTTCACACCGAAGCAAACAATTCTGAATGCTGCATTTATCTCCTCCACATTTCCTACCAACACCTTTTTTGTCATTCTTAACAAACAGTGTGTAGGTTATCAGCAGCAATGACCTATTAACAACTTCTACACTACAATTATTAGGTGATAAATTGAATCCTAAATGCTATCCCTGTGACAAGCTAAATGCCATGTTAAATGCCAGTCAGACTGCTCTTAGACAAAAGTACAAACTTAAGAACCTGTACTGATCCCTGACATGCCCAGCATGGACCAGATACTCTCCACGAACTCAAGAAAACCCACACACCGAACCAAACCCAAAACCCCACAAACAGTGCAAAAGAAAACAAACAGATAAATTCATTTAAAGCTTCAGAACTACCAAACATAGCAGAAAAGTAATTATGTGGAATTTAACAGACAAATGTTTTTAAGCCCTCCCACTCACTGAACAAGGAGCAGCAGAGTCAGTAAGGATGCTTGGAAATAATCTCTGAGGGCTCTATAAGAGCTATAATTATGATCCTAGGTGATTCCAAGGGGCTTACTCTCTCCCTGGAGTGTATATCTTCACCTTGTGTAGTCTGTGGTGAAAGAGTTCTTTACCTCTCCAGTTGCACCACTTGGGGAGAGCTGGATAAAGGATCCAAAATCTTTGTGTTCACAAAGAGAAAGGTCTGGAATGCACCCCAATAGCCAGGGTGTGCTTCTGCAACAGAAAAATGCTGGATCCCTACCTTCCATTTGAGCACCTGGCTCAATTTCTGTCAACATTTTCCTACCATTAACATCCAAACCAAACACCCCTAAGAACACATGAAGCAAAACTAAATGTTTCCCAATTTCACAGCATTGTTGCTTCACGAAAAATAACACCCAGAAAGGCCAATCTTTATTACAAACTTATTTTCCTGTAAGACTGAAATAATGAGTCAATTTTTTAACTACTTGAAACAGTTTAATCCAACTAGAGATGTTTTGTTTTATCACCACAATAGTTTATTATTTACACTAGTTTGGTTTGAAAGTCAAACAAACTTCCATCTGAGGAATGATACTTTTATTGCTGTTCATTTCATATGCCCTGGCATAGTGATAACTGAATTGTGATGGTAAGTGAACAGTTCCTCACATACATATGTCTATTTATGAACTGTGTCTGGCTCCCAGTGTGCAAAAAATTATATTAAAAATATAATTATCTATATTAAAAAATAAAGATATTTTTAAAGCATATCATGCATTCAGGACAGACTAAAATAATACAGAAAAAACCCCACTGTAATCTTTTTCTCTGTGAAAAAGCAAAGATCATCCAAGTACTACAAACACAGCATATGGAAAATAGCTCATTCCTGGTAAGACCATCAGAAACAAAAATCTATTTTTTTAACACTTATTTTAGCATATTTCAGGCAAACAAAGAATTTTAGGAAGGAGTATGAATATATACAGCTCCCATGACATCGGCACACAAGACCATACCCTGCTCTCCTGTGTTCTTCTACAAGGAAAAGAAATAATAATTACAGTCCCCAAAGCATTGGCAAAGACATGAACAAATGAGCTGCACCAAAGTGCTGTTTGGGGTGAGATAAACAGACACACAAAATCCAGCCTGTTCGGCCAAGGCTGTGTCAATCACAGCAATGCTTGAAGAAACAAGGCTCGGGAGACTCCAGATTCTTCCAATTTCTGACAATAATATTTTCTAATCACATGCCACAGTTCTGAGCTGTTTTCTCCAGCAACACTTTGCAGGCTTTCAGTTCCTAAACAAACACATTTACCAGAAAGGGTTTATGGCCAAACGCCAGCAGCCAGACAGGGAGAGACTCAGCTGAACAAACGACCGTGTCCACATCTGAACTAGCCATTCTAGTCCCTCTTGGAGGGAAGAAGACATTTCTAGGGTGATTCATCTCTACCCAAAATAGAACCCTACAGTTGGCTAGATGAAATACAACAGTTCTAGGGTGATTCATCTCAATCTAAAATAGATTCCTACAGTTGGCTAGATGAGATACCTCTATCCAGTAATTATACAAAGTCCAAAGTAACCAGCTCAGCCTCGGATATCTACAACTAAAGCTAAGTGAGATGAATCCCACCCAAGGTGGCTACAGAACTATCAGGCAATCCTTAAAATACACTAGCCACAGACAGCACCTGTTTGCATGCATGTAACAAGTCCAAGACCAAGACAGCCTTTCAGTCATTGCCTTAACTATGCACTACCACCTCACAATCCACCACTCACCCCCCATTCAACGTTAGCTTTCCTGCCTAGGTTTACACCTCATGGGCTTTCCTAACTGATTACTCTAGTACTAAAACATTCTTTTGACTTATTAGAATCACCAAAAGGAAATCAAACAAGATAGACATAAGCCTTCCAAAACTCAGCAGAAAATACAAGTCATGTAGGTATTAATAAACTACTAAAGAAAGCTGCCAGTCAGCCCTCATTTAGCCAGTTTAAAAAAGAACATCCAAATGCAGCTATCAGATATTACAGTAAAATGGGCTGGAAATGAAATGTCGATGAAAAAGTATATTTATAACACTTACGGTGACACTCTTCATGGCCTGGGAATAAAGGAGAAACATGGCAGCTCTGCAGCTGCCTAAGTTAACAATGTGGTAACACTGGCACAATCTTTCTAGGAATACGAAGGAACTTTGAAACCAGCTTCCTATTTTGAAACACTTTCTGGCAGCAGGAAAAGAGAAGAAGCTGCTTTGAACTGAGATTTCTAAGCCCACAGATGCCACAGACCATTAAAACTATGTATTTTCCAAAGGTATGTTCCTGGTTTGCATAAAAGCCTTTAGCTAGAAATATAAGCTTTGGAAAGTTTAAGGGACTCACAATTCTGTCAGAAGGGGCTGTGAAGTGGCACATGAGGGTTCTGCAGCCCGACTGGATGAGCTGTTAAAACTGAAATGTACTTACATGAACTATTAGGCGGAATCTCCAGTAGTAAATCAATGGCAGAACAGCAACAGGTCAGGGAGAAGCAGCTGGTGCAGAAGCCCCTGTTGCTAATTTGAAAGCAGTTCAGGAGCTTATGCTAAATCACATTTAGTCTGGTTCACTGGGCCAAACCCCCTCACCATGGCTGTGTTAAAGCTGTCTGAGCACAGCCCTGGCTCAC